TGCTCTTTAAAATGTGAATACTTTTCACTCCCTGGGCCAATCAGGTCGCGCCCGCGACATTCTTTTGAGGTGCATGTTCCCCTCGGATTGCCTCCAATTGCTTGCATCTTTGAAAAATATCTGTAATAAAAATTCAAATGCATTCAGAAGTGCACATAAATAAAACATAATTTCCTCCAAATGATTTATAATATACTAAAACATTCACTCCCCTGTCTGCCTGCCTGTCAAGAGCACCGCGGCGTATCCATCCTCGGGTGGTGGGACTTTCCCTGCAGACTCTTCCACGGGCGCTGCCTTCACAAGAACACCCAGCGACCCGCCGGTCCTCAGAGAATGTCGGTCTCGCTTTATCCATCAAAGCATCAGGGTGGTTTTCTCCATGGCGGGATAGTATAGCTCTACCTTTACTCCTCAGAGGGCTCTACTTTCAGCGAAAATGCTCTGATGATGTAAGAATCTGTCAGGGCGGCAACAGGTGAGAGACAAAGGAGTGGCTCACCTTCTAGGCTTCCCCAATCTTAGGGAGGGCCCTGTGGGGTTAGGTTCACTCCTCCACACCTCTATGCCCCGTTCCCTGCCAGTGCCCAGGCCCCTGCCTTGGTGTCCATGAAGGTACCTGGGGTCTTAGGCAGTGGTTGACACACACAGAATCATCCCCAGAAAGTCCTGTGAAAATGCAGGTAGCTGGGGCCTGCTTCTGAGCTCCTGACACAGTAGGTCTTCGGATGAGCATTTCTTTGCTCCAACGTTATTGAGATAGAATTGACATATAACATTCTGTAAGTTTAAGGTGTACAACGTGATGATCTGATATATGTATATATTGCAAATTGATGACCACAATACGGTTAGTTAACACATCCATCACCTATATAGCTGCCATTTGTGTGTGTGTGATAAGAACTTTTCAGATCTACTCTCTCATCAACTTTCAAGTATACAATACAGTATTGTTAACTACAGTCACCATGCTGTACATTAGAACTTATTGATCTTATAACTGGAAGTTTGTACCTTTTGATCATCTTTACCCATTTCCCGCAATCTCACCATTCCCTGCCACCCCTGACAACCACTAGTCTATGCTCTGTCTCTATGATTTTAGATTCCACATATAAGAGAGATCATAAAGTATTTGTCTTTCTCTGACTTATTTCATTTGCAGTAATGCCCTTGATCCATCCATATTGTCCCAAATGGCAGTTATTTCCTTCTTTTTATGGCTGAATAATATTCCTCTATGTGTGTGTGTGTGTGTGTGTGTGTGTGTGTGTGTGTGTGTGTATATATATATATTTATATATCACAGTCTTTTCAGACCATCATCCATCTACAGACACTTAGGTTGTTTCTATGTCTTGACTGTTGTGAATAAAGCTGCAGTGAACACGGGGAGCAGCTATCCCCTTGAGATAGTAATTTCATTTCCTTTGTATATATACACAAACATCAGTCCAGTGCATAATAAATGATAAAAATATTAAGATAGTTATGTATGGGTATACATTTTGCACTCACAAACTTAGATGTGCAAAGATAGAACTTCTAAAAACATGTTTCTCTATAACTTAAACTACCTTAGCTCTCAAACCTCCATTTCACCTGAAGCAGAAAACTTTGTCTAGTCACTTCCAGGAAAACAATCAATTCAGAGTTCTCACCCTCTCTATTAACTCTTTTTTTGCCCAGAGATTATTTCAGTCATGGGGTCTTCAGTAGAGTTTCCTGTGTATTGGTAGACAGCATCTTTTCCCCATCTCCATCTTCCTTGGTCATATGCTGTGTCTACTACTATATATCTTGCAGGATGTGTATGCTCTCTGGGCACTAACCTCACTGATCTGCACCATACAGGCTGCGCCCTGCTCCCTGGGCATGAGGGCCATGCTGGTCACCTGCACCCATCTTGTCTAGATGTCTAGGCCTCTCCAATCTCCTGGCCACTCTCAACCACTTCTTCACCCCTCTTCAGGATACAGAAAAATTTCTTTATTCTCCCACTTCAGGGACAAGGAAACTTGATGATTGTGGGCTGTCAACTCTTCTCTGCTTAAGTAAACCACTCAGTCATTTTTAATCTACTGGGGACCCACTTGGTTCAGGGGATCCTCAGTCTAAGAGGCTTTCTGTTTTCTCAGGCTTCACCCAGAAAGCACATGTTCCCTGCTCTGGAACTTCCCCTGACTTCTCCAGGCTTTCCATTGTCCAACCCCTGCCAAGGACCCAGAAGGTGTGGCCTCCCTTCTCCAGCGCCCACTAGCTCCAGTTATAGCTCCTCCAACCCACCTCCTACCACCAACGACTGACTGTACATCTCTTTTTTTAATAAAATTTTTCCACCATTATTATTATATTATTTGCTTCAAAGTACATCTCTTTTCGAGTAGTAAAATGTTACCTAAAAAAAAAAAAAACAATAGCCTCATCTACCTCCAAATTATTTGAATAGTGTACCTTGGTCATTCTTTTTTCATTTATTTGTTTATTACTGAATATCTATTATTATATCAAATATGTTCTAGGCACTGAGGATACATCAAGAAACAAAACACATAAAAATATCTGCACTCTGAATCTTACATGCTAGAGGAAGAAGGTAGACTATAACCAATAAATACAAAACATTATATTATCACATTTAGTATATTATATCTATCATATGAGATTATGTAGCATACTCACTAATTAAATAGTATTTTAGATGATACGTGTTATGGAAAAAGAATTCCACTGTTGGGGGCCTAATGCAAACCAACGCATTAGGTTCTGTGGGTGTGGGGTCCTGGCATCAGCATTTTTCAAAAGCTCCCCAGGTGATTCTAATGTGCAGCCAGATGTGAGAACCACTGCCTTTGTCCATGGAAATTATCATTATCGCTCTGTGGGAATTCTTGCTTTTGTCTTATTAATGTCTTTAGCTGTTGATTCATTCAATAAGTTAAATAATAAATCAATAAATATTTACTTAGTAAAATGTAGCACCTCCCTTCTCCAGCCTTGTTCAAACTACCAGGGATTTGGCAACAAAGAAATGAGACAAGATCCTTGCTCGCATGCTGTTCGCATGCCAGAGGATTGCTTTTTCCTCCCATCGTCTCAATTCATTCTCACAACACACATATGCAGTGATCATTCTTATTCTCACTACCCAGGGGAGGAAACTGAGCCTTCATCAAGGTAAGAAACTCACCCAAAGTCATACAACTATGATGTGACAGAGCTGGGACTCAGGTCTAAGGAATCAAAAGTCCATATTCCTACAACCTCTCTCATAACAGCATTTCTCAGTGGAAGGCCTTCATTCATGCTTCTCTCCATCTTATATTCAATACTCATGATAGAATTTAATGGAATTAAATTTGAACAGCTCAAAATTGTGTAATTGATTACATTCAGTCTCCATCACAAATTACTAATTTGATTCACACCTGCCAATGTGACACCTGAGGGAGGGAGTAGCTGGGGGGGGGGGGTGGTGGTGGTTAGGCCTTAATGATCTAGATATATGTGCTAATTGTGTAAAATAAATGTAATTTTAAATTCCCAGACGGGCTGTGATTAGGCAGGCCACATAGCTATCATTAGCTTACCTGTTAGACACCTGAAAATTATTATAATTAAGCCTGGTAAATTCTGAAATTAATTTTCATTAAGTCTCCCTATATGAGAGGTACACTGAGAATATCTCAATGTATTATCTATATAGTATATAAAAGGCTAAGTGACTGACAGTCCGGCTGGCCGGTACCTATGACAAGCACTGACCATGAGGGGGCAGACGCTCAACACAGGAGCTGCAGAGCTGCCGTGACTTGGCAGCAGCGGTTCTCAAGTGACACACCCAAAACCAGAGAGGAGGGAGCCCAATTCCTCACGGGGCCACACGATTCCACCTTCAGCCATGGGGTACGTTGTTGCTGGGGCACTATCAGCCCGAATCTGGTTTACTGCACACTTGCGTTTGCGTTCCACACTGTACGACAGCAACTTTGCAGAGTGCCCTCTTGCACTCTGGGACCTCTCAGGTGATGTCGCAGAGCCGGTTTCGGCCCAATCCCCACAGGCCAAGCCGAGGGACCCCACCCGCTTACTCCACAGACACCCTTGGAGCCAGCCGAGGAGGGACCATGGGAGGTTGGCTCCAGGGTGTGTCCAGCCCGTCTTGCCCAGTCCCGCCCACCGGCCACCTTCTAATTAATTGCCTTTCAATGTGCACAAATCCACACCGGGTCAGTAGTATGATATATTCTCAACGTATGTCTCATATGTTAAGCTATATATCTCATCTAATATATATCATACATGATATGAGAACATATATTTATAGAAATTCTAAATTTTTCATCATCATTTCACATTCACTACAACTGTGGGTTATTTTAAAGACATATGTTGTCCCCCCCCAAAATTCTTATGTTCAAGCTCTAACCCTGGTAACTCAGGATGTGACTGTATTTGGAGTTTAAATGAGGCCATTAGGATGTGCCCTAATCTACTATGACTGATCCCCCTATAAGAAGAGGAAATTTGAACACACAGAGAGACACCAGGGATGCATGCACACAGAGGAAACAATCATGTGAGGATACAGCGAGAAGGCAGCCATCTGCAAGCCAAGGAGAGAGTCCTCAGAAGAAATTAAACCTGTTGACACCTTGATCTTGGACTTGTAGAATATGAGAAAATAAATTTCTGCTGTTTAAGCCACCCAGTCTGTAACATTTGGTTGTGGCAACCCTAGCAAACTAATGCACATGCCTATTGCATTCAGTTTAACAAATAATTACCTTTCTGTGTCTAAGCTATACTGTTAGGGGATGTCATGGACTCTTTCTTCAAGGAATTTGCAATCTCTTAGAAATACACACACATGGGTGAGACAATTAGAAAATAGTAGGAGGTCCAGTCGAGGAAATAAGTGCTACCTTGAGGGGATCAAAGCCAAGATAGATGAGCAAGGATCACAGAAAGAATAGAGCTGGAAAAGAAGGGGAGGCATTTTTTAAAATGTTTTATTGAACTTATTGGTGTGATGGATACAGTCAGAACTTAAATGATTATAAACTTTTAAAACACACACACAAAAAGGAATTCTGATGATTCTCATCAGACTCTGGATACTTCCTACTTCTCCATGTGATTCAGCAACTACCAGAACAAAAAGAATAAGAAGAAAATCTCAAAATATAAATTCTGTGACAATGGAAGAAAAGGAAAATTTAAATACAACTTCTCTTACGTATGCATGATAAATGCTAATGTTTATTAAGACCCTAAGATATGGTGAGCACATTAACTGCATTTCCTCCTTCAATCCTCACACCAACCCTTGCAGATAGATGCCATTATTATCCCATTGTAGAGAGGAGGAGACTGAGTATCAGATGTGAAATAATTCGTCTAAGTCTGAAAGGCTGTCAGTGGTGGAGCAAGGGAATTCCGAGCCAGGCCTATCAGACCTCAGCACCCACACTTCTAACTCCACGCTCTGTTACCTCCAACTCGTGCTCTTCTCTGTTCTTCCACTCAGGCGAGCCCCCGACTCCTGAATGCCTTCCCTCTCTCCAAATCCTAATTATGTTCCAAAGCACCAGTTCCCACCTTCTCTGCAATACCTTCAGCTTTCTTTTTAAATGTATATATTTTTTCTGATTTCAGAGAGGAATGAAGAGGGAGAGAGAGATAGAAACATCAATAATGAGAGAGTCATTGATCAGCTGCCTCCTGCACACCCCACACTGGGGATCGAGCCTGCAACCCAGGCATGTGCCCAGACCAGGAATCGAACTGTGACCTCCTGGTTCATAGATCGATGCTCAGTCACTGAGACACGCTGGCTGGGCACCTTCAGCTATTTATACCAGAACGCAGGCATCAAAATCACTCAGGGTGGCCCTGGCTGGGTGGCTCAGTTGGTTGGAGTGTCATCCCGGTCACCAAAAGGTCGCTGGTTCAATTCATATACCTAGGTTATGAGTTCAATCCCAAGTTGGGGTGCATATGGGAGGAAACCAATTGATGTTTCTTTCTTCTCTCTCTCTCTCTCTCTCTCTCTCTCTCTCTCTCCCTCTCTCCTCCTTCTCTCTCCCCTCCCTCTCCCTCTGTTGCTCTCCCTTCCTCTCACTCTCTAAAAAAAAAATCAATAAAACATATTCTCAGATGAGATTTTTTAAAAATCAGCCAGGGTGGCTGGCTGAAATGTAGGTTCCTGTATGACACCCCTGATCCAATGAATTACAGTCTAGGCGAGTGGGGCTCAAATGCATTTTAACAGGCTCACTGGGATACTCTGAAGCTCACTAATGTCTGAGGGTGCTGGTCTGCACTACCCTGCATGAAACTGTGTGCTAGACAGGTTGACCGAGGGGGCACTTGGAACCTGGCAAGGGCTGCCACCAGTTCCGAGCAAGTGTGGTCACAAAGACAGCTGTTTGACCTTTCTCACAAGAGCAGGACTATCATTTTTTTGGACTCTTAGGTTAGCCAACCAAAGCTGGGCTCTCCATAATGTGGCTTAACTATGGCGCTAGGTAAGCCTTGGTAGTAATTACTGAAGAAACACAAAGAAAGAGAGAATATGGTAGCTCACAAAACACATTTTCTGGAGTTCATGTTTATTCCATATTTACAAGTTAAAGAGTATCCCCTTATGGCATTTCCACTTCAAATGTTCAAGAAAGAAAAATAGATAACAGATTTAAATCAAGCCCTGTAAGAAGCCACTTCTAACAGCCAGGTGGCTAATTTAAATTAGAATACATTTTGATCCTTTTCTGAATAACAAGGAGGAGCAGAAAAGACACATTTTCAATAACATTTATGAAGCATTGATTTCCCTGTCTTTCTAACCCACGGATACTCCAGTCACTGCAGAAAGCCCACCCTAAATAGGAGCATGATTAACAACGATGACTTGATGACAGGTAGTTAGAGTAAAGCAATTCCTTCATCGGCACTAATGAACATTTACACCTACTATCTATAGAGCATACATTGAAGTAGAGATTTGAAAAATATTTAGGTTTACACCATGGTGACCTAAAGATGACAGTATCTGAGAGAATGATTACGCTGAGTCCTGGATCAGATCTGGAACATTTAAGGAGCATCTATATCCAGTCTGACCAAAAGAATCATAAAAACACTAGAATGTAAGTTTTCCTCAGCTGCCTCCTCAGCTAGCAGGGTTTGGTGAGCAGGAACTGCCTTCTCCTGGCCGCTCTTCTATTTTTCCAGAACAACCATGATTGAACGAATGGTCCCTTGGCCCTGCCAATGACTCCAGATAATTTGAGCGGGGGGAATCAATGCATCTTCTATTGTTATATTTTCAGTATCTGTTGAGAAAATGCATATTGTTAAAAGGTACCATAAATTCAGTATTATCTTAAAATAATATGCATTTTATTAAGCACAGCAATTTCTATATAAACCTAGAAAGTAGTTAAACCATCTCATTTATTCAGTCTATAGACAATGCTTGGTGCACTGGGGAATGGGAAGATCCCTTTAATCATTTCAAGGGCCCGGGCCGAGGTTGGAGTCCCACCAGCTGAGATTTGTTGCCTCAGCCTCTGATCTCAAGGGATTTCCTCCCAGACTCTTCTCCTTGACTGGTCTGTGGAAAGAGAGCCCGGTGCCCATTGAAAGCAAGAAGGTCAGACCTGTTAGGACATGGGGAGGCTCGCAGCCAACGCTGGGCTTCGGCAGTTTCCTTACAGTAGCGTTTTCAAAGGCCATCAGGGTCTCCACCATGTTTAGCCTTGGGGACTGAGCCTACACTGTCTCAGAGCAACTACTTCGCTCTCTGTGAAGACCTGATTTCACCCTCAGAGGATCCCCTGGCTGGCACAGAGCATGGTGGGTAGAAAAGGATGAGGTAAAAAAGCATTGTCAAGCAGCTCATAAATGCCCAATTCTCTCCAATGGAGGCAAGCGTTATCCTTAGGAATAGTTACACTATAAAACTGTAGGCAGCAGGGAAGTGGGCTAAAGCAGATCATTCGTAAGGTTTATTCCTCAGAAGTCAAACATGATTTCAATTTGGGGTCATCCACCAAGCATGAAGGTTGTGGAGAACAGAATTATTAATATTCCATAAATTCTTTATATAGTACTCAGTGGAAAAATCATCATTTGTAATATTTATCTGGTGCTTGAATGAGGACATGCGATAATATGACAATTCAATTTTCTACTTTGACATTTCAAATATGACCAAGTCATTATAATCAATCCGTAATACATTTATCATCTACATGAAGCCAATTATGCACCAATAATCAGTGAATTTTCGAACTTGTAACCTAGACCCGTGTGCAGTGATGACAGCGAAGGTGGAGACATTTGCTATAATTATGCTGTTATTGCTTCTAACAAAATGCTTTATACCTGAAAGGGCAGACAGTGCTTTTAAAACCTCAATTCAAGTCTGGCTTTTTATTACAAATTGCCTTTTGAATCATAAGCTTTTTAGAAGGGCAATAGGAGATGCAGTCATCAGCATGGGTATATGCCTTTGGAATCAGAGAGGCTGTGGTTCAAATCCCGGCTCTGCATTTATTAACTGAGTAACCTTGTCCAAGTAATTTATTAAGCTCTCTACGCCTCAGTTTCCCCTTTTATAAAGGGGATGGTAATAATTACCTTGCAAGGTGCGTAAGGATTCACCATGATGTATGGCACAGAGGTGACCTACAAAATATAGGCGCTATCATTGTAACTAAAAGAACATAATGAAATCTTAAAGGTTTAGATCATATTTTTAAAAGGATAAGTATAAAACTTTCAGCCAATGTTGAGAGAAGAGAAACATTTAAAACATAGCACACAGTGTAATCAAGTGTCTTTTAAAATATTCTGATTACTAGACAACAATTATATGCACTATTTTAATAATATCATAAAATGGTTGCACTTTGTTCTTTGTTTATTGCATTCTAAAACCCCGTGTTAGAATTATAGGCCTATAAACTGGGGCTATTAGGAATGCCTGCAGAAGGCACTTACTGATGCATCATTTAGCCTGAATCTTGTCTTTGGAAGAGAGAAATCCAAATGGCTGCTTCTTTCAAATGCCACCCAGATACATAGTGTTCATTTGAGATCATCTAAATAGCATATGTGTGTGCATTTTAACTCAGCTTTCCACAGTGCCTCATGGGAATTTTTCTTCTCCTGTGAGACAGTGAAGAATACTGTCTGGGACCAGGATGGATTTGGAGATAACCACTATGCGTGGGATGTGTCACTATAGGAAACTTCCCATGAACCTCTTCTCTGGCCCCAAATAGTTGGCCTCAGACCTCATGGAGCTACAGTTATTGCCAGGGATCCTTGAATCAGTGTGAGCACAAGCATTCACCTGTGCACAATATAGAGAGCATATCACAAAGGATCTGTGTGCCAGTTACCTACTGTGGAACAAACCACCCCAAAACATAGAGGCTTAAAACAAAAATGGTTCTCTCACATCATTTTCTGGGTTGACTGGGTGGTTCCACTCCACGTGGTGTCCGCTGGGGTGCCAGGATGGCTGCTGTCATCAGGGGACTTGATTGGGCTGGAACATCCAAGATAGTTCATTTATAGGCTCACTGCCAGTTGTTGGCTGGGAGCTCAGCTGAGGCTGTCAATCAAAAAAAAACCCAAACGTGAATCTCCACATCGTCGGGGCATCTTACAGTTTGGTGGTTAGGCTGCAAAAGGTAGACTCACAAAAGGAGAATTCAAAGAGCCAGATGGAAGCAGCAAGGCTTCTAATGACCTTGCCTTGGAAGCCACCAGTGTCATTTTGACATCCTGTTGGTCAAGCAACTCACAGGGCTAGCCTTCACTTCTCAATGGAGTGCTGCTATTTTTCAAGTGTTTTTCAATATGTACTTGCTAAAGTACAAATTTATTGAAGGATAACTTTTAGTCATCAGGTATTTTTTTTAATCAACTTATAAACCGTATAAGCAATCTTACAAAATGATTAAGAATTTAAGATTTGGTCCAAGCCAGCTCAATGGTTGAGCATTCACCCATGAACCAAAAGGTCACTGGTTCAATTCACGGTCAGGGCACATGCCTGGGTTGTGAGCTTGATCCCCAGTAGGAGACGTGCAGGAGACAGCCAATTGATGATCTTTCTCTTTCATCGATGTTTCTATCTGTCTCCCTTCTTCTCTGTGAAAAATCAATAAAATATATTTAAAAAAAAAAGAATTTAAGATTTGGTCCAAGCCAGCTCAATGGTTGAGCATTCACCCATGAACCAAAAGGTCACTGGTTCAATTCACGGTCAGGGCACATGCCTGGGTTGTGAGCTTGATCCCCAGTAGGAGACGTGCAGGAGACAGCCAATTGATGATCTTTCTCTTTCATCGATGTTTCTATCTGTCTATCCCTCTCCCTTCTTCTCTCTCTTAAAAAATCAATTAAAACATATTTTTAAGAAAAGAATTTAAGCTTTGTCATCACTTTCCAAGCACTGAGACCACAGTGTATGATCAAATGTTGGTCATCAAAGCATTCTTTGGATTGATGTATGACCAAAAGGGGTAACTGTGGACAAAAAAGGGGCGGGAGGTCCTGTGAAAAGTAACATCACGGTGATCTGATCATAAATTCCTAACTGGGCAGGTCACGGTGGATAGTCACACCCTTTAGTAAAGGCCTATCTTTTCCTCAAGCAAGCCCTGTCCATTGTTTCTGCAAATCTACATTAACACACCTTTGAAATAAGCTATCACCACCTTCAAGAGAGCACTGTACTACTAAGCTTGTTAACACATCCTGTAATCTAATCCCTGCCTTGCTTTTGTTCACCTCCATGTGAACTTCCTTACTTTTTCTCTTTAATTTCAAATTCATAAAAGAAGCTACAAAACTCGCTGGAGATCTTGCTCCTGGCATATGTCGTCACCTTGGCTTAGATAAACTTTTAAATATTTAAAAAAAAAAAAAAAAAAAAAGCTTTGTAGTCAGACAGGTCTGAATTTAAATCCCTATACTTATTGGTTGTATAACCTTGAGAAAATCACTAAGCCTCAACTTCTCTACCTCTAACTTGGCTACAGAAACTTCACAGAGTAGCTTCAAAAATTGCATTTAAAAATGCGTGACAGATGCTTAGGACTCAGAAAAAGTTAGTTAGCTGTAGTTACTGTAGTTACTGTAATGCCAGGAGGCAGTGCTGTAGCTGCATCTCTGTTCTTTTCCAGCTCCCTGCTCCACCCCCATCCCTTCCCTCACCTCATCTTATTAGTATATCGTATTTGAATGGATGCATTGCTACAATGCCTGACATGTGCTCTGGCTGGGAAGTGTCCATAATTAGAAACTCACTGGAAAGATGGATTTTAACATTTGTTTAGGCACAAAATTTATTAATGACAAACAATTTAAGGGGCAACCTGTTGATAGAAGAGAAGGAAAACTGAAAAAGTAGCCTTGTTATAATCAAATACCCTTTTTTTAAAAAAAAATCTTACAAGTCAGAAACTGACTCCTACATATTAATCAGGTTGTTAGTGCTGGCCCACTTGCCACATTTCTTGGGACAAACTGACCAAGAGCCAGGAGTGGGATCCCGTGCTTACTGAGCTAAAGGTGGCCTCTGAGCGCACAGTGGGCACACTGGGTCCCACGTCCAGGAAAGCAGGAGGGGCTGCAGGCCGAAGCAAAGCTTATAACTGGGAACCAAAGGAACTGAACCCAGGCAATGTGGTTAGGGCAACAGGGCCGATGCACTAAATGAGAGGCAGGAAGTCCACAGAAAGAATTCCGGTGGCCTCCTTGTGGCTGTTCCTCCTACTGCCTGTTCCAAGCAACTCTTCCCAACCTGGAGTGCAAAGCTGCACAATGCAGCTTCCGACCACCCTTAGCCCAACCAAGTCCAAGGTTAGTCCAGCAAAGCACCCAATGCAGATTTTAAAGTGGAAATTTTGTTCAATTCAAATATTTTATTGGAAGGAAGGAAGGGAGCTCTCTGGCCCTGAACTGTTCAAGTGACTACCTTATGAAGAAGTGAATGGCCCAGCACACATAAAGCCTGAGGTTTCCCTCCCATGTTCTGAAGCCAACAAGAGCTGTGCACTTTGGAAACTCTGAGGGTGAAAATGTTTGTGGAAGTTAAATGGACCGGGTCTCTCTCTGGGTGGCATAGCTCTGCGTGACATGAGTGAAACAAGCTCTCCTCGTGTCCCCAGATAAAGCTTTTTTTAAGGCTGCTAGAAGGGTCTGCCTACTTCTCTGCACTGTAGTTGATCTTGTTATATATTAGGACCCCACTGGATAAGGCCTTCTCAGTAATGATTTTTCTCCCAGTTCTTGGACTATACCTACAGATTCGCCCAGCTACCCATATCCATCGTTCTCATGCTGCTGCTCCACGTTAGCAATGCTGAACAATGGATTTACAGGCAATACATTAGCCATTGAAAACAGACTCGCCCTAAGACTTTCACATCTTATCACAGCATTTGGAATACTATTGAGAAAAAGCTCTTAGATGCTAACCCTTTCTTAACTTACAAGCTAAAAGGGAGAGCCATCACTTAACATTCCTGGTGGTGCATCTCACAGGCTGTGAGTGCCACCAAAGAAACAGCTGGCTAGGCCTGCCATGTCCCTGTGAGAATGTCTCTCATACACTGATAGTCACAGCATCCATCGAGTCACTACTTTGACAAGAATTGTTTATTTATTTTCGTTTAAACTCAAGAGATTGTCATCGGATGACCAAGTGGTTCCAATGATTCTCATTGCTATTTGCCCTCTTTCCCATCCAGAGAGATGCTTTTGCCAAACTGCCCATTGGCCAGACTCTACTTTCATTGAAAAGAAGGGCCTACCTTCTCTAATCCGTCATAGAAGCCTGTCAGCAATTCATGGACGATACTCAAATGTTGCTGCACACCTTCAGGCAGCCATTTATTACCTAAGACCGTTATATCAGAGAAAATTCAGTTTATATCTCACAGAATTAAATTCTTCTGACTACACCCTGCCGACTACTTGCATTTAAATGTACACTTAATTGGATGGGAGTTTAGCCAGGCGAAGGTGACAGATCTGCAGCCACCAGGCCATGTGAATTGACTGTCACTCATTAAAGTTATCCTTAAGATAAAGATTTAAATCTATTTCATTTCCTTGCTCGGGATCAGCAAAGTAAATAGGACTAAGACACGGGAATTAAAGGAGATATTCTAGCCGAGAGCATTGACAGCTGAAATATAATCAGTTTCTAAGATTTATAATGCTATTGACTTTTCTTTTGCATCATAAATTCCACTGCTGACTCTCTGCCTGGGCTTTATTATAATATCATATCATATTAGGGAGATCAGTTTTGCCGGTGACGAATGAAAACCACTGATATGAAAAAAATTCCCATTATCAGCTCATCACCTAATTATATTAGCATCTTTGTATCCTATTATCAACTCTTTTTATATAAAATAACATTTCCTAATGACAGGGATTTCACTAATGCTATATGAGTGATGCTAATATCATTTGCGAGTTCTCATCATGCATGTCCTGCTTGAAAGCAGAGTGTATTTGTTTTCTACACAGACTTCAAAATTGCAAGTGGTGTCTAGCAATTCAAGCAAAAATGGTGCTTTATGGAAAAGCTCTCCTCTTGCTTAGCATTCTGGGCCCTTCACAGTTTGGGTCCAACCTTCAATTAATAGCATGATGACCCCAAATGTGAAGGTGGTTACAGCAAAAGGAAAAAAATTGGCTAACCTACGCAGAATGCAAAGTCGGATATATCTAATTTCTTTAATTATCACTCATCCTATTCTCAAAGTCACATCAGGGTAAAGATCAGCCAAGTGCACTATTATCCCAAACCACAAATCTTCTATATCAACTCTTTGCCAATGCCACTGAATAAGAAATTTTTACCTATTTCTCGGCAAACTCACAGCTTTCTTCGCTGGGTTGAAACCTGATAAAGGCAAAAAAAAAAAAAAAAACAAAAACAGCATTTCTAAACTTCATGTTTTAGAATGTGATCGAGTCGTTGGAGTTTCTGGCTCTAACTTTGAGATGCTGAACCAGTCAATCACCTCAGCGATTCAGCTTGACAACCAGTCAATGCAGCGAGAAAATCAATTTTATCAGTTCATTGAACTGAACCGATGCCCGTGGACATGTGCAAATCCAAGGCCCTCCACGGCCTCCCATCACCGGGGCAGCAGCTGCTTCTCTCTGGCCATGTGGGTAAGGCTCTCACCTAGCCAAAATGGCCACACCGGAGAGCCTGGCTCTTTCAGGTATTATTTTTTTAAATATATTTTATTGATTTTTTACAGAGAGGAAGGGAGAGGGATAGAGTGTTAGAAACATCAATGAGAGAGAAACATGGATCAGCTGCCTCCTGCACATCTCCTACTGGGGATGTGCCCGCAACCAAGGTACATGCCCTTGACCGGAATCGAACCCGGGACCTTTCAGTCCGCAGGCCGACGCTCTATCCACTGAGCCAAACCGGCACGGCTCTTTCAGGTATTTTTAAGTTCCCGTGGCATCTAGCACCGAACTATGAGACACTTGCTGGGCAGCACCAAGTACGTCTCCTGGCCAACGCCAGCTCAGGGCCCGGTGGCGCAGACTGGGCTACTCGATGAG